CTTAAAAAGGAACTTTGGTGGATTTGATATTTGCTACGAAATTTATAATAAACTATTTGGGAATGAGTATTCGACCTTTTCCAAATTAAAAATAGTAAGTATATTATACGAACTTATGCAGTGAGATTTTATTTCTGAATAATCATTACGCTTTTTCTTTAAAATTATGATTTGATTTCTTTTGTAATTTTTAAATTAAATAAACGACATAATTAACCCCTTAACTTATGCGCTCGAGTTAATTCGAGCGCGCTAAACACGCCAAATTGTGCACATTCGAGATAATTTGAGCAGCGTTGTATTCTATGCTGCTATGATTTTTCACACTCGAATATAATCAATAATTGAAAATAATGTGAAAGTTAAGGAAAAAAAAAATCGTTTTATTGATATTTATCATTTACATAGGATTGTAGGCTATAACGCTTATTTATTAAAGAATAAAATATATAGAGATGCCAACTTGCTCCGGACAGCAAATATATATTTTAAAGCTGTAGTTATCTCTACATGAGCCCTGCGAGGGGCTCTAACTAATTCATCTGAGTGGGAATGTATAATAAATATCCGAAGCGCAATTGAATGGTGAAAGTTAGGGTTCAGTAACATTTACAGAGAGAAAATTAAAATAAAGTACGATATATCCAGGGATGCCAACTGCTCCGCTCTGTGGAAAAGTTTTAATAAAGTGGTGGCGAATTAAATAGCATAACTTGTAAAATAAGCATAGTTACCCCTACTTAAAAACAGTAACCAAATAATTAATGCTTTTAGGTTGCATGTTATATGATTATTATAATGTTTGATATTTAGTGGCGGAAAATTAATTAAAATTAAAAATACTGAACTAAAAATAACTTAAATTTCGTTGCCGTAAGAAAATACTATTTTGCAAAGCGGAGCAAGTTGGCGTAAGCATGTAAAATAAGCAGTTTTATATATAGACTAAAATTATAAAAGAAATTTTGATAGTTACAGATATTTTATTTTTAAAAAAAAAAATGCTAAAATGAAATGACTTTCGTACCAGTTTTTGCACTTTTCCGTCTTGCTATATAAGGGCTTTCAGTCATGCCTTCTGATACAGTACAAGACCATATAGACGAAATAGAAGACTGGTGCTTAAAATGGAAAACTGCAGTAAATGCTGGAAAATCACAAATATTAATTATACAAAAAAGAAGAATTAAAATACTTCCACAACTTCAACCAAAAATGTTCAACATACCAATACCAATAGTTAAAAAAGCAAATTATCTTGGCCTTATAATCAATAGCAAACTCACCTGGAATGATCACATCAAAAGCACAATATTAATCCAAAATGCAGCAATAATAGCCATACAACCATTAATATATAATCAGAATATGTCACTTAAACTAAAGAAGCTACTATATACAGCAATGATCCGCCCAATACTTACCTATGCCTCACCTGCCTGGACAACGATACCTCAACATCTACTGAAGAAATTAAACCAATGCCAAAACAAGATCCTTAGAAAAATAACCTGTGCAAGATGGTTCATCCGGAATACCAATATACATGCAGACCTCAAAATACCAACTCTATCACAGCATATATACAAGCTAAACGCAGATTTTTTCGATAAAGCCATAGAATGTAAAACAGCAAATTTTAATGAAATCTTTAAATTTGAAAATTATATCAAAGATAAAAACTACAGACCAATAGCTGCACATTTCACCTCCGACGCCTCATATCATAACTATCAAAACAAATAATTTCATCAACCTTTCTGAAAATAACGTTTACTCATGCTGATACAATTCTGAACAACTCCAAAATCAAACAAACACAGTTTAGAGCAAGCTGCTCAATTTATTTTTGATTCCTTTTTAGTTATTCAAGCAAAGAGCTTGAAACATTCATAAAAGCAACTCCATTGCCTGCTTAGCTCATTGCTCAACCAAAACTGTTCTAAAATTCCAGATGAATGGGATAGGGGCCGCTTCGCGGCCCAGGTGCCCAATAAGATCAAAACACTAGGACTTCTGATACAGTGCATGCCGTCGCTCGTAGAACATTGATAAGTACTTACAACAAGTATTGTTTTATATCACTTAGTAATAGCTTTACATTTAACACTCCGTATAATTTTTTTTGTAATGTACCAAAATGCAAAAAGCTTTAATGGAACCGTTCACCGAATTTGATTATAATGATGTAAATAATTCTGAGTTTGAATGTAATGAAGTAAATAATTTGGATACTTATAATATTTGGTAAAAAGACTTAGTCATTTCAATTCACAATACATGGTCATACCCTCCAACTTATGAGGATTTTGAAAATAATTCTTTCTAGTGGTAGCGAACCAAAGTAGAAATTTTTAAAGCAAATGGATATCTCTTGAAACTTTTATCAGAACTTAAGAATCTAGCCATATGGCCTGCACTTTTATAAGTAATAGTGGACAAGTTACGCTAAAATTAACTTTCTTTAAATATTAAGACATTAATTTTGCTACCGCCTGAAAAGAAGATTTCTGAAACTACGGAAATTCCGTAGCAGTTGGAGGGTATGCATGGTTAAAATGCAAAATGCTCTTGGCATAAAATTTAAAGATTTTGAAAATTATCATTGTGAATCTTGAGACATAAGTAAAGTAACCCATAAGAGTCATCCAATAATTAATACATATTGCTCAAAGTAATTCTATATTAGAGTTATTTCATGCTGACCTAACAGGCATTGTGATTCATTAGGAAATTCAAGATAATTTTTAGTTCTAGTGGATGATTTTTTTGGGATGCACTTTTCTTATTTCTTGAAGCATAAATATGAAGTATTGGAAATGTTTTGCATGTTTAAAGAAAGGTATGAAAATGCAATGAATAAGAAAATTAAAAGATTCAGATAGAAAGTAAAAGTTTATTGACATTAAACAGACAAACACATACAAATTTAAATAGAACGTCATCTCCCCCTACGAGAAGGGTTTTTTTCATGTATATTGTTATTTGTATTAAAAAGTAGAATCCTTCTCGCAGGGGGAGATTGTTGTCATTCCCAGGGAAGGATTGCTATGAAGTCTTTTTCTTTTTAATACCGCCAGATGGCTTTTTTTTTTAATTTGTATGTATTTGTCTGTTTAATGTCAATAGACTTTTACTTTCTATCTGAATCTCGATTTCCACGGACCTTTTTTTATGAAATTTTTTTTTTTCATTAAACGACCCATTTCGTTTCATTCTGCTTTAACTTCGTTATCTGAAACATACGCTCGTCTGTTTTTATTTTATTTACATCGAAGTTTTAGAGAAAAAATAACTTATTTTATTTTTGTGTAGTTAGGCGGAAAAAAATATAAAAAGAATTAAAATAAAAAATGGAAGGGCTAAAAATAATTTGCATCTCTTCTAATAATAAGTAAATGAAATATTTTAGAAGTGAATTATAAGAAATAAGAGACATTTTTTTAAGAAAATTTTTAAGTGTTATTTCCCTAAAACATTTAATTAAGAATCTTATGTATTTCTATTTCCTCTGTCTGCGATCAAACTAGCATGGAATTTTTAAAACAATTCATACTTTAATGCATGTTTTTAGTAAAAATAAACCAACAATAATAAAAAAAATAATGCTCTTCAAAAGATATTGAAAAAAAAGTATAAATTAAGAAAGTAGTTTGAAACTTTTTTTTGGCATTCGTAAATTTATTTATTCCTTTATATATATTTTGTCAAGGGCACCTGCAAAAATTTTCTCAGAAAGGGGAGGAGAAATCAACCGGGGGGGGGGCACTCTTCAAATCATTAAAATTTCGAATTCGATATTTTAAAATCGTTTCTGTAATTTTTGAAATTTCAAAAAACAATTTTTGTAATTTATTCATTGTCACTAAAGTAGCAAATTTTAAAACAAAATTTGCAATTTTAACAATATTTAAATTTGAAAAAAGGAAAATTAAAAAGTCATACAATTTAATTCTTCACGAAAAAATAATCACCCTTTAAATTCTTTAAGTTTTTTACACACTCACAAAGAACAATTCGCTATTGTGTTTTACAGTTTTTTTTATTTATTTTTTTTATAAATTTTGTATAAATTTTACTTTGCGAAATGCATCTTGCAAACATATTTTAGCTAATAACGGTATAAAATTTTAAAATACAACTTTCGTGTCCAGTTTATTACTTTGAATAAATTCAATAATACACATAAGAAAAATTATTACAAATGATTAATTATTTATTTTTTATGATTTTTCAAAAGAAAAGGTTTCGAGAATAAAAAAAATAAAATAACTAAAGATAAATAAGGGATTAAGAATTAGTTGCATCGCTTGTAAAAAACTTAAAAATCTAAATATTTCCATTCCTTAATATCTTAAATATTTCCATTTCCTATCTGGGATGAAAACATTAGGTGAAAAATTTCGAAACAGTTCTTATTTCTATGTACAGACCAGTTTACTTATAACACTTTAGAGTGATAAAATTGATATTTTGGAAGAAAAAATATCAATTTTCAACCCTTCTCTCTCTGCATTATATCGAAAAGTTAACAAAATTTTGGCAAGAAAAAATAAGATTAAAATAAAACTCCTTTGCCAACATCACTGCATCCTATGACAAGTTTTGATTCGGCAAATTCCGTTTTCTCGAGATGTAGATTCTGACGTCATAAGCAACCCCCGCCTCTTTTTTGAGTCACGTGAAGTTAGTTTCATTTTAAGCTAATTTTTTTTTCTTTTCTTAGAATTTCGAAAAAAAAATTTATTGGGAACAAAAACAAACACATAAATACAAAGAATATATGTTCGTCACCAAGAGGAAAATCCTGTCCAGGCGACAAAGAAAGGTAATACAATAATTTAAAATAGAAATTAAAAATAAAAAAAAGGGGTGAGGGGATATTACAATCATAAATTATTTTGCTCATCATAAGATATCATATATATTTGAACACTGTAATAATAGAAAGAAAAAAAAGAAAAATGCATGAGACTATATTAAAAAAATAACAGAAGAAATTCATTTGGATTGGCACAAGACAGGTATAAAAAATCAAATGCTTCCTTTAAAGTGAAAAATACAGATCTAAATCGTCAATGTTCATCACAAATTGAAATAAAGCACGCTTAAAAGAAGAATATATTTTGATGTTTTGCAACTGAAATGGTAATTTATTATATAATTTAGGTGNATAACAAAGGTAACATAAGAAATTCATTTGGATTGGCACAAGACAGGTATAAAAAATCAAATGCTTCCTTTAAAGTGAAAAATAGAGATCTAAATCGTCAATGTTCATCACAAATTGAAATAAAGCATGCTTAAAAGAATAACATATTTGGATATTTTGTAACTGAAATGGTAATTTATTATATAATTTAGGTGCTAAGTAAAAAAACTGTTTTCGTGAAATTTCTTTTGTAAAGTGGGGAATCTCATATATTTCAGTTGGTCTCCTTTCAGACACATTAGTTTTTAATTTGCATATTAATTTATTGTTGTGTAAATAAAGTAAAATACGAATGGTAATAGATTAATTCTTGTATATATATTGGTAGTAGTTATGCTTGAATTATTTATATTTTGAGAAATAATAATCTTGAAGCATTTATTCTGAACTGAGATTAAAGGAAGTAAATGGTAGTAAAAAAGTGGCAAAATGAGTGTAAGCCATTGCAATTGGACAACTTAATTTTGTCTACAATTTCATTTCAATTAGTCTTTCACTACAACTTAGGTAATCCTTCTACTATTCATTACTAAGAATCTTTAGTACTATTATATTATGATCCTAAGAAGTCAGTAACTAATCTCAGCAATATCATACCTCATATCGAAGACTGGTTTACAAAATGGAAGGTAACCATCAACACCACCAAATCTTCACTACTAATTATTAGAAAATCAAGTAAAAAGAAAGTCATTTATCCAAATATTACTCTTTTCAATGATACAATACCAAAGATGCCAACTGCTCCGGACACGCCACAATAATTAAAAACAAAACGGTAAATAACTACTAAGTAAATTTTGCAAATATCTGACTATTTTTGTTTGCTTTTTAAAAGGTATAGCATGACATAAGTGCTATAAAGTGGTGAATTATGTAAGCCTACGAATTATTTAGAAATAGTGGTGGATAAAAATCTACTAAATTGAATTTATTAAACCAAGAACACAATTGATTAACTACCATATTTGCTGTCCGGAGCAAGTTGGCATCTCTGCAATACCACTAGGTCGAAAGGCCACCTAAATAGGCGTCACTCTTACTAGCACTTTCTGAAACCAATATTAAACTATAACTCAGAACTTGCACTCAAAACAAAACGAACGCTATACCTCCAATGCATTCGACCGATCATCAGCTACGCAGCACCGGCATGGAGCACAACCACTACTACTCAAAAGAAGAAACTGGAGAGTACTCAAAATAAATTTCTCAGATACATCACTGAAGCCCCCAGATCCATGAGAATGAAAGATCTAAGAAGAGATTTAAGAATTAACAAAATAGATGAGCATATAGCTGAACTATGTGCAAGTTTCTTCAGAGATGCACTCTCTTGTCATACGTGCAATTACTTTAAAAATTTTGATTTTGAGCTCATCAAAGACAACATAAAATATAGCCCGGCAACCGCCTTTTTCCTATCCGACGGAGTTTTGTCCCGTAAATTTTGTAAATAGCTGTAAATACTTGTAAATAATTTTGCGCATTTATTATGTATTTCNCCCCAGATCCATGAGAATGAAAGATCTAAGAAGAGATTTAAAAATTAACAAAATAGATGAGCATATAGCTGAACTATGTGCAAGTTTCTTCAGAGATGCACTCTCTTGTGATACATGCAACTACTACTTTAAAAATTTTGATTTTGAGTTCATCAAAGACAATATAAAATATAGCCCGGTAACCGCCTTTTTCCTATCCGATGGAGTTTTGTCCCGTAAATTTTGTAAATAGTTGTAAATACTTGTATATATTTTTGCGCATTTATTATCATGCATTTTTCCTTTTCTCTGAGGCTATGTGGCTACTCTGCACCTGAGAAGCTCGAGGATAATACCTCCAGGGGAGGCGAGGCAGTCTGCCACAAAAACCTCTTCTCTCTCTTAAATTTGTTTGTTTAATCCAGCTACTTCATTTTAATTTTCACTCAGTAAATGTTACTGAACCCCAACTTTCACCATTCATTTGCCCTCCGGCGATTTATTATTTATTCCCACTCAGATGAATTTGTTAGAGCCCCTAGCGGGGCTGATGCTAAGATAACCACCACATATGAGTATGAGTATTATATTATGAAAAATAATTTGAACTTTTAGAATATGCTTTTTCAACAATAAATTCAAAAGCAATAATCAAAGTTCGACAATTAGCATGAAATTTACTTTTTGAAGGTGGGGTGCTACTTGAATTTTTTTATATAAAAAGTAAGAAAAAAAAGATTAATTTATGACAATATTATGATTTCTAGGATTCGCAATTTTATGACGGCCCCGTTTGACATTACTCTCTCTTTTGTAATGGGTCACTGAAAAGATTTCATTTGAACAATTTTTTTAAAAAAGAATTTCTCTCTTTCGGAACGCTGTAGCTCGCTATTGCTATCGAATGAAAAAAGAAAAAAAAGAAACATAAAACTTTTATATTTCTCTTTATCTATAGCATTTTTAAAGGCAAGGATGAGGCTCGGCCCTCCCCTACAATCTTATACATCTAGCAGAGAAAGGAAACTACAAATATCAGCAATAGGTATCTCAAAAATAAAATTTTCTTCAGAATAATAAAAAGTACAATAAAAAAAGTTCCCTAAATACAGAACTTAGCTCTTCTTTCTTGAGTTCAAAATTGAAGACATTTTTTTTTATAAAAGGAAAAATTTGTTTTATTGTTTGTTTGTTTTTAGATAACGTCATCAGCTGAACAAAAATTTCGAACACTTTAACGAATGCAGTAAATCCACCGGTGTGAAATGGGATAAATTAAAGCTCCATCTGAGGTAAAGTTTATAATTTTTGTTTTTATTTTCAACCCCGCCTGCAACTGAAGCTTTCAATAAACGAGATTTCATTTCCGATTTTAGCCGAGCTAAGGCGAAGCTAATGGAAGTTTAGGAATCGGTGCTTTAAAATTCATGTTGCCACCGCGCGATAAGCAAAAATCGAAAGGTCGGTCATAAAATTGCATTTAAGAGTTTCGAATTTGTGGACGCGTAGAATGTAAAATCAGGGCAGTCATAAATGTTTTTATAACTAAGCCACCCGTGTCACAAATTCTTCCTTGCGAAGTATTATAAATCTATATAGTCATGGGAAAGCATAGTTTTTTCAACTTAAATCGATGTTAAAGATAGTATTTTTATTTATCCTTTAAACAAGTTTTTTAAAATAATGTTTTCAAATAAAGTACATCTTTTAATGATTTAAGAAAATGCTCAATGAAAACATGTGATTTAGAATAGGTTTTAAGCTCAACGTAATAATTTAATTTGAACATTTGTTGAATTGATTTACGGAGAGTTAATTACCGAGAAGAAGAAAAGAAATTATTTCCCTCTTATCTTTTTTTTCGGAATTAGCAGTGATTACTAAGGTATTAGTAATCACGTAAGGATTGTTGCACAAATATTTACTTGAGAAATTTCTAAGAGGCGTAGGGCAGAAATGCATAACTGCCAACTAGTACGGGCAATGAATAGGATTTTACTAAATGATAACAAAACAGATATTAAATTTGGAATTCGACACATTACATTATTTAAATATTTGAGAGCAAATCTAGCCGTCCTAGTGTTTTGATTTCATTGGACACCCTATCCTATTCATCTGGAATTTTAACACTGTTTTGGTTGAGCATTGAGGTAAGCAGTCAAATCTAGCCGTACTCATCTCACTCGTATGTGGTGGTTATCTCAGCATCAGCCCCGCCAGGGGCTCTAACTAATTCATCTGAGTGGGAATAAATAATAAATCGCCGAAGCGCAAGTGAATGGTGAAAGTTGGGGTTCAGTAACATTTACTGAGTGAAAATTAAAATGAAGTAGCGAGATTAAATAAACAAATTTAAGAGTGAGAAGTGGTTCTTGAGGCAAGCTGCCTCGCCTCCCCTGGAGGTATTACCCCCGAGCTTCTCAGGTCCACAGTAGCCACATAGCCTCAGAAAAAAGGAAAAATGCACGATAATAAATGCGAAAATATATACAAGTATTTACAACTATTTACAAAATTTACGGGACAAAACTTCATCGGATAGGAAAAAGGCGGTTGCCGGGCTATATTTTATATTGTCTTTAATGAGCTCAAAATCAGAGTTTTTAAAGTAGTTGCATGTATCACAAGAAAGTGCATCTCTGAAGAAACTTGCACATGGTTCAGCTATATCCTCATCTATTTTGTTGATTGTCAAATATCTTCTTAGATCTTTCATTCTCATGGATCTGGAGGCTCCAGTGATGCATCTGAGAAATTTAATTTGAGTACTCTCCAGTTTCTTCTTTTGAGTAGCAGTGGTTGCGTTCTGTGCTGGGGCTGTGTCGCTGATGATCTGTCGAATGCATTGGAGAATGACGCCTAGCAAATCTACAGAGATGCCAACTGCTCCGGACACGCCAAAATAATTAAAAAAACGGTAAATAACTAGGAAGTAAATTTTGCAAATATTTGACTATTTTTGCTTGCTTTTAAAAAGGCGTAGCATGACGTTAGTACTACAAAGTGGTGAATTATATAAGCCTACGAATTATTTAGAAATAGTGGTGGATAAAAATCTACTTAATTTAATTTATTAAACCACGAATCACAATTGATAAACTACCACCTTAAAATATATACTTGCTGTCCGGAGCAAGATGGCATCTCTGAATGCATCTCATACTCATACTCATATGTGTTGGTTATCTTAGCATCAGCCCCGCTAGGGGCTCCAACTAATTCAACTGAGTTCTGAATGCATCCGATAAATACATCTTATATAAATATTTTTTAATTATTGATTTGTCGTGGTAGGTCGAAAAGTTTATTTTGAAATTTTTAAATTCAAGATCAAAACATTTATGTTGCTACCATTAAGAAAATTATTTCTCAACTGCCGTATGGCAGCTTGACTTGACTTGACTTGATATGTATTGTAGCAGATTACTCCCTCTTTCTTCTGATGATATGAAATAACAATTGAGACTAAATGGCTTTGGAAAGGAAAAAGATTTGAGTGTTGGCTGTGAAGCCTCTGTTAAATTACAGTCAAATCTGAGTATGTACGGCAGCTATGAAGATGCTAACTTGCTCCGGACAGAAGAACAATATTTCCGAATGGTAGTCTTTTATTGTATGATTCTTTGTTTAGTAATTTCGATTTATAGGGTTTTTACTCACCACTACGCCCAAATAAATTAATGCTTTTATGATACGCCACTTTGTTACAGGTAAGGTCGGGCCTCCCTGGTCGAGCGGTATCGCCCGCCAAACGCTGTGCTAAGCGGGGAGGTAGCGGGTTCGAATCCCGCCGTAATCCTGGATTT